GAGGTTTCTTCTGTTTAAAAGGGAGTTTTTCCTTCCCACTGCCGCCCACGTGCTTGCTCATAGGGGCTCATCTGCTTGTTGGGGCTTTCTCTGTTTTCTTTATATTAGTGTAGCATCTTTACCTTACAGTATTAAGCACCTTGAGTCAACTGTTGTTGTGAAAAAAATGAACTGAACTGATCATATGAGAAAGAAATACTTCTTATTGACCACATTTAAGACGCAAAAGTAAAACCAACAAGTGTATATTTTGGTTCTCTTCTTCCTTGACAATATTGATATTTTCTAATGTCTCGAGGTTTGGCACCAGTATCCTAGACAGCAGACACATCCGAGTCTAATCTGGACTACTTTTGGCACTGAGGTCTCACTTGCAGCGCTGCCAAATTTTTCATGGGCCAAATGTCACAACACAGCTGACCTCTGGCCCATACAAGGTGTGACTGAGACCCAGTGTGGCACATGAGGTCCAAATGTTCAGCGCTATCAGGGATGCTCTGAGATTTAAAAAAAAAAACATTCACTGAAGCTCATGAAAATCCTTGTCAGAAACAATCAACTCCATTATTAGCAACTGTGTTCTTGTCAAAGAAAAAACAAAACAAAACCACACAAATATTTGAAGATCATTAGTTATTTAAGACTCAAGTCTCATGTTGCAGAGCTAGCTGACAGCTGACTGGCAAAATCATGTAATTATAACTTGATTCAAAGCTGAAATGAAAATGGCAACAACAAGATAAATATTTGATCCATTCAGGTTTTGTTTAAAGTTTTTGAAATGTTGACACATTTAGTTGGTTAAAATTCCTTCTTACTTACACATTTTTGTTAAATTTCCACTGCAGACTCATTTCAATTTAACTGCCTTACTTTTCCATTGATATGCACTTAGTATAAGAACCCGTCTTACGTGTGTTTACATAATAACTATATTGTGTTTTATGCTGTAAATAATCTCTGTTCCCAACAAACTTCCAGCTGAGGTGGATTTCATTTCATGATGCTTTATGGTTGCGACACGGGGCCTCTGTGACGCACCCCAAGGCCCTAGTGACCTCAGCTAAAACGGGGTCCTCGCCTCGACTCGCACCCCACTGTTCGAACCATCTGCTGGGTCTTTTCTGTGGCAGCCGGCCTCAGGAAACACACTGCAGCAGGGGGTTGATGGGAAAAGATGCTGTGAGTTTTACTGTTGCTCAAGAGTGTGTCTGTTTGGGTGCATTTAAAAAAAAAAAAAAGTTTTAAAAGTTGAGACAGAGTCACTGAGCCAACACCTCGCAAAGTTTTAATGGCCTAAAATAAATGAAAGTTTAACCTTAACTCTCTGTAAACTCTTACTAACAAGACTTCCAAGTCTATGCTTATTGGTCAAACTTTTGTTTTTCCCTCAGGAAACTGAAGTTAGAACAGATTCAGCCAAATAGAAGAATTAGAAATTCAGTAAAAATGTTGAGAATCTTGTTGGGTGTAATAATCTGACATCATATGGCTATTTTATGAAAAAAGGACATTAAGTTTTATTTTATTTTTTTTTAAACCACACGCACCCATTCTTCTGATAGACAAAACTGAACTAAATATGCTTTAAACAGGTCTGAGCAGCTCCACTCGGCTAACCACATCAAGCAAAATGAGTAAATGCTCTGCAGCATTCAGGTAAACTATGAACGATAGCTGTAACTCGATCCTGCTGATATGTCACTGTCACATAACCCTCCTGGTTTGCCTCTGTTTACATTCATTCCCTGACTGGATGGTTTACAGCGCCCTGAATGCCTGCTGTACTCGAAGATGTCACTGTTTGCATTTCTACTTGTGCACTCATGTGTCTGCTGTGCTGTGCCATCATTTGCGATATTGAGCCGTTCACGCTGAGCCTAACAAATCCTGATAGCAGTTTCAGTGAAACGCAGGAAGGAGTTTCAGTCTGTACTCTTACTGCCCGAGCTATGAAATACAAGTGTTACTGCAACACTAGAAGACAGAACAACAATTTGAAACCATGAACGTTTGCAGTGTCTGATCTCAGGTAAAGCACAGTTACATACCTGATCAGGAGAGATTATTTTAAGTGAAAAAAGCCTTTTTCATGTAGCATCAGCATTTGTACCCCTTTACTAGATGAGTGTCTGCACTGTTATAACAGCTGGCCGCAGGACTGGGAATGATTTTCTAAACTCTATGAACATGTTCATTTTTAACACTTTTAGAATGAGGACAGACTCACAAGAGCGACAACAAACTGCAAAGGCTAAAACCGCCGGCTTATTTTTATTGTTTTCATTGCTCCAGTGCTTACTAGATTACAAGAAGTGTAAGGGAACAGGTTACCAATCCAAAAACCTGAATAAACACGTCTTTAAACGCTATAAAAGTTTTTGTTTTTTTCCTCTGGTGGATTGTGACTCGTACGGAAACGTATTAATAGCGCACCAAGTTTTGTACTCATATCTGAGGTTGCAAATAACTGCAGTTTGAACAAAAGCAAAGGGTAAAATAAATAAACCTAAACAGTGCATGGCTGATCGGCTCACTGGGGTCACATCAGATAATAACTTGACCATGAGAAGCTGATATTTTTAAAAGTCAGCCAAACATGGTTCCTTGTATTTGCTTTTCTTCAAGATCTCAGAGAGTGACAAGGAACAAGCCGCTGTGGACGGCTGGGAAAATGGAGCTGTTTATGGGAACAAGAACTACTTTAAAAAACACAGTGGATAACACCGAGGGAATGAGAGACTGAGAACATGGAGGCAAGAGGAAAACGGTGATGGATGGAAGACAGAAGGGGAAGCGGAGGAGAGGCAGACACACACACACTCAGACACGCTATAATATGAGTTGGCAGACTGCGAGCGAACAGAAGCAGATGATAGAAAGCAGTCATTCAGATCAGACGACCATTTAAATCAACCGGTCACACCGAGAGGTTTCATTTCAGTCCAGCATGGGTTTCTGAAGCCCACCCCAGCAACGTATCTGGACCGAGAGAGCTGATAAATGATTTCACTAATTGATATATTTAAACTCTTACATCAAACTATTTTAAAAACATTCAGTATTTTATCAGCATACGGTCCACTCATTCTTCGCAGGGTGCAAAAAGCCTCTGAAACAATCAGTTGAATCAGGTCCAGATGAGCCGCCATCAAGAGGACATAATTATATAAACAGAGAAAGGCTGTTAGTGTGCTGATGTAAAAATATGCTAAACACCTCACTCTTAAAATAGAGCGGCCTGTAGCTGCTGCACATGCAGCCGAACCCCATCGACACCACCAACACGGCTGACTCTCGGACAAAAAGCAGCGCTGTTAAACGCGACCGCCTTGCTACCGAATCTGACGGCACAAATTTTAAATCTCCACAAAGCCATCCTTTAAAGTTTCCAAAGATGTCAAACATAATAAGCTTTCAGAATATTTAAAGCCCCGTGTTAAATGATCTCCCCCTCAGTGGAGACATCTCAAAGTAAACAGCTTCTCTGGGAAGCCATCGAAGCTGTGCTGGCATATCCTCTGGGGACAATAGTCAGCTTTTTGGCGCGCTAGCAAGATGCTATGCAAAGGAGTTGCATGTTAGTAATTGTTTCTCTCAAATATGATTACTCGTGTAAACGGAAACTGAAAAGTCCCGTCTCTTACCTACAGATTCTGCACTTTTATTTGCAGATATCTCGCTTAGCACTTTAGGCATAGTCTGATAAATTTTAGGTGATGCCAGGTTCTCTTATACCGTGTGAGATATTGGCTGTACTCACAGCTTCAAAAGGCTTTTACCTTTCAGGGCCAATGAAGCCACATTTTCCTCTTTTCAAAAATCTAGTCAGGACTTTCCATTTAATAGGAAACAAAAACAGCAAAAATGCACGAATACACTACAAAAGATCCAACAAAAGCAATCTCTGTTCCAGAATGAGCCGTTTATTCACATTTAACTCTGGGCAGCTCTACAAGTAAATCTAAAAAACAAAAACAAAAAACAAAACGGGTAAGACAGCCATCATCGAGCCAAAATGCAAAACCCTAAGTACACAAACTTGTTGTCGCCATCATCTTGTTAGCACCTTCTGTTTGGAACTGGCCACAGTGTAAATAACACTGAACTGAACTGGGGGAAAACAAATGTTCTTGGGGCCTTTGGGGTCCAATTTGAAACTGGAGAGGAGCGGTCGAGAACTATGCTGGATGCCACCCAGAATGAAAAGTAGAGCTGAGATTGGTTCATGTCGGGACATGTGGCTGAGGTCCGCTCCGATCAACCCAAAAAACCTCTAACAAGCTTGTCCGGTTGACATCTAAACAAATCCTCATCCTTCATGCCCGAGACCCAGAGAGGAGGAATCAGAGTTTTAGAGCTGGAAATGAGGAGATTTTCAGAAAGTGGAAAACTTTTGTTGAGTCAGATTGTTCAAAAGGTTAAAGATTAAAGATTGAGCTCATGAGGGCGCTCATAAGGAAAGTCTTTCACCTAAAACTCACCAAGTTCTTGAGGCCCTAACCTCTCAGAATTTAGTGGAGAATTAGAATACTAATGTTCTGATGTTTTTCACTTTTCAGATCCTGGACAGCTGGGAAACTCAGAAAATAGATGGAGAAAGCAGATCATAGAAAGCAGTCCCATAACCAGAGCCAGAGAAAGGTGTGTGTAGAGTGTCAGTAATTGGCTGATATATGAGAAGAGTGCTTGTTTGAGGGGCAGCGGGGTCTCAGCAGGAATTCATTTCTTAAAAACATCCCGAAGCCTTCAATTAACCCCGTTAGCCCCCTCCCACCAACGCCACAAACACATGAGCAGCTGAATCTGCCAAAATAAACAGCCAATGGCATTCCTGAAAACCCCCAGCAGAGGAAGGGGGTGAAGGGGAGCTTGAGAAATGAGCAGAAATAGGAATGGATGGGAATGAATAAAAGAGCAGGAGTAGTTTCTAAAAACTGGCAACACAATAAATTTAAAGGGCTTTCAAAATAAAAGGCAGCAGCAGTTGTAGCTCTTACTTATTCAGTGTTCAGGCCTGTTGATCCCTGGTGACATCAATCACCTCAGTCTCCTGAAAGAAGCACAAAAAACATGACTCGAGTTATATATAAAAAACCTGTTTGGGTAAAGAGCAGAGGCCATTAGTCATCTGATATCTCACAGCACAGCTTGAATTTGCTGAAAACTGAAGGAATGAATGGCTGGCCTGAGGGTTGCACTAGGATTACAGGTCAAATCCAGGTGACATATTTGTTCCTGATTAAACCTGAGGACTGCAGGGACTGCATCGTGTTTCTTTTGTCGATTCTATCTGAGGAGCTTAAGGGCAACAATCCAGACTTTTCCTTACAAATCCTCCCCATTATTTTTTTTTTCTTTTAGTACTTTGTCTATTTACCCTGATCATCTCCCTCGTGTGGAGTTATTAATGACTCTATGCTGGCATCATAGTTTGTAGCTATCTGACTAACCATGCAACATGGGCTGGTGTGAATATTTCAGAAACTCCTGATCTGCTTAGATTCTCCCACACGGCCATCTCTTGTTTTTGCAGAGAATGGCCCAAAAACGAGAAAATATCCAGTGAGCGGCAGTTCACGGGGTTAAAATGTCTTCTCGATGTCAGAGTTTAGAGGAGAACGCCCTTTGGCTGCTTTAAGCAGATACGAAGGCGACAGTGACTCAAATAGCCACTCATTACAACCAAGCCACGCAGAAGAGCATCTCTGATTGCACAACACATCGTACCTTGAAGCAGAAGACCACACCGCGTGTCACTCAAGTCATCCAAGGACAGGAAAACCAACCCATCGTTCACACCGGCTCACCAAAATAAGACAGAAGACTGGAAAACATTGCCTGGTCTGATAAGTTTCAATAGCCGAGGCACAATTTGGTATGAATACCATGAAAACATTGCTCCATCCTGCCTTGTATCAACGGTTCAGGCTAAGCTCAAATCTCAAATCATCTCAAACTGGTTTCTTGAGCATGATAACTAGTCCATGTGTTCTGGACTCTGTCCCTAGTCTTAACGTTATCAATTAAAAGTGTTATAAACACTTAAATCTCTGATTATGAGTTATTATGTACTAAAGACATGTGCCATCAGAACACAGCAACACCACAAATCATCAAAGACTTCATGATTTTTGTAGACCGAGCCTCATGTCCAGCTATGAATTAGCTGGACTTCATTTGTTGGTTATTGTCACATTTTCCAGACAAAGTCTGGGTACCTCAGCCTGCTCCGTGCACAAAAACAGAAATGAAGTGTGTCCTGAGAGCTGCAGAGCCTGCTACACAACGAGCCTGGAGATCACAGCAAAGCCAGTGATGGCATTTTTAATTAAACCCAGTTCATTCACAGCAAGAGCCAGAAATATTATACTATCTATTAGAGAAAAGACATATTACTGCCTGGACTAATAACAAAAAGCTGGAGCTGTGCCCGAGCTTAAACAGAGCCCTTCACTGGGGCATACATTAAACTAAAGGCATTTTAATTTGTGATAATACAGAGAGAGGGTCTCAGTTTTCCCTCTCATACTGATAGCATTAATGCTTATAGGCACACCAGGTAAAACAAAAGGACTTTTTAAACTAAAAAGATAAAAAGAAAAGAAAAATCAATTTGGGGACTAATCTTCATAATGAGACAACCAAGCAGACAAAAAGCTACAGACGCTGAGAACATTTAATGAACAAAGCCCAGCTGAGGTGTAAATGTTGCTGAATAAGCCTGCAGTAATACGGTTCACAGGTATCTTCAATTTCATTTCACACTGCGATGAGGACGCTGCTCGCCTCTGCTCCAGAAACAAGAATTAAGGTCGTCCGTGCCTCCGTTCGCATCACACTGAAACCAGCAGAAAAAGAAGCTAGTGAGGCGAGACTGTGTGTGTGTGTGTTTGTGTGGTTAAGTTTGTTTGGCAGCACTTCTAACAATGTCGAGGCCCTCGGTGCTATCCAACAGAATAGCCCAGTCTGTCTCGACTATCTCAAAGAACCATATGCTTCTGGATCCCAGCGCCCAGTCGCGTGTGTGTCTGTGTGCATCTGTGTGTGTGTCCATATGTTCTAGCATCTAAACATCCAGCATCTAAAAGATCCAGATGGCGAAGCATCAGTCGACACAATGTCTCCTTCCATCAGCAGGAAGTAACTTGAAAACCGTAAAGACAACAAACGTTCATCATCCGGGCTTTAGGAGCCGACCACACCGCTCACTTGACAATTATAGAGTAGTTATCATATTACGATAAGTATAACACACACACACACACACACACACACACACACACACACACACACACACACA